GATTAGGGGCGTGAGCTACCACGCCCAGCCAAGGCGTCAACTTCTTTAATAAAATAAGATTACAGAGGGCTAGCGTCTGATTACCAGACCTCAGAGTATGCCTAAAACTGTGGATCTGCTGCTCGCAGAACCTGTACTGCTTCTGTGTAGGTGAATTGTGAGGAGTTAATCTCCATCATTACTTGTAGGACATCCTCATGTTTCTGCACTCTATTTTTCCAGGAGAAAGAATAATACAAAAATTAGTCAATAATACAATGTAAATAAATTATAGATTATAAATACATTCCCTGAGAACTGTGCTGTAAAGTTGAAAAGAAAGAAAAAATATTCAAACTTAAGACATTTACATTTCTGATGAGAAAGTAGTTGATTGTGTAGAGGACAATTTTAAAACATGTTTTACATTCCTTGTGTACATTTCAGCATCCCAGCTCTGAGCAGGATTGTGGCATTTTTAAAGTTATGGCTTCCAGCTAAAAACTGGAATGTGCCTTCCTGTTCTTTCTTATTCTGAAAGAAGAAAGCCACAACTGGGAAGTTTCAGAGGCTCTAAAATCATGGGATTGCCCTATATGCTGACAGTATCCCCGACAGTCCAAAGGCCAGAGCTTTCCTGCTGTGGAGTCAGGTAAATTCATGCTATGGGAAAATTCAAAACAATGTACTGCCCCTCCACCATCTCTGCTCAGTGCGGCCTTATGGGACTTAGATGCATCTGGAAGGTGGAAATCTGGATTGGCTATCTTTTCAAAAAGATTTCCTTTTATTAAATTAATCATAACTCCAATTTTCATCTCAAAAATCTTACATACATAATTGGGCAAGAGACATTGGAAGTTAACAAGTTGATATGAAACCATGGAAAGAAAGTATAGAACAACCAAGGGAATTATTTTAAAGTGCTTTGTTGCTTTTGCTGTTTCAAGTAGCTTTAAAATATTGGAAAAATGAAAAAGAAATGAAAGTTTTTAGGCAATTATAACTTGAAATTCTGCAATAATAAACATTCCTAATTGCAGGTCTTGATCATATTGTATGGATGCAGTCTCCACCCAGATTCCATATTACAGACAAAACATCTATGAGGAATATTTGGAAATATGATTTGGGGCAGGTATTTGACATATATCACCCTATTTCTTTCAAAACATGAATCGCACTCTAAATTCTTTTTCAATACATTCCACATTTATTAAACCCAAGACAGCACATTTTAGTTTAGGGGTGTGTGTGTGTGAGAGAGAGAGAGAGATAGAGAGAAAGAGAGCGTCAGTCTCGCTCTGTTACCCAGGCTGGAGCGCAGTGGCGTGATCTTGGCTCACTGCAACCTCTGCCTCCTGGGTTCAAGCGATTCTCCTACCTCAGTCTTCCAAGTAGCTGGGATTATAGATGTCTGCCACCACACCCACCTAATTTTTGTATTTTTAGTAGAGACGACGTTTCACCATGTTGGTCAGGTTGGTCTCCAACTCCTGATCTCAGGTGATCCACCTGCCTTGGCCTCCCAAAGTTCTGAGATTACAGGCATGAGCCACTGCACCTGGTCCAGCACATTAAAAAAAAATTGACGAGATACTAATATCACCAAAATGTACTTTGAAAGGGAAATTATAGTAAATATTTGACTGGATTAGTGGTTCACATCTGTAATCCCAGCACTTTGGGAGGCTGAGGCAGGAGGATCACTTGAGCCCAGGAGTTCAAGACCAGCCCAGGCAACATAGTGAGGCCCTGTCTCTAAAAATTTAAAATAAAATGAGAAATAAATAAATATTCAAAAATCATATATTTTATATTTTCAGCTGTAAAAACATTGTAAATTAATTTTGGGAGAAATATTTTCATTTAGCATTTTGGTGAAGAAAACAGGATGCTATTTCCTGTAGGTTCTATTGAATTCTGGGTCATTATTAGATCTGTAAATAGAGCCTGCTCTGGCCCAGACTGTGAAATCAGTTTCAATGGCTCTCTTTCCTCTCCCTCTCTCTCCCACACCCCAGGGCATCTTCTCTAGTCCTTTGCAACTATTTACTGGCCTCTACCTAGGGCTCCTCACTTAGGTCTTCATCCTTGGAAATTTCCTCTTATTTTTGCCCAAGCATATCATGATTACTTACCATCCTTCCGAAGACAGCAGCTCCTACTGCACTTCTGGCCCATGCTTTCAGAATAATACTTCAAGAACTGGGCTCCCATCTTCTGAGACTCCTCCAGATCGACTAGAAGACCTGGGAAGCGGCGGATCCAGCAGTCTCTGTAAAAAATGGTAGGTGAGCAGAGAGAGTCTGATGTCCATCCCATGCTCAGGAGCAATATTACGTTCACTACTACCACTGCCACATGCATTTTCCTGTATGAAGGAAGACTCGAAGATAAATCTGATTTCCAGACAGAAGCTGAACACAGGAGTTTAGGACAGTCTCTGGAATGTCAGGGGTGTTGCTAAGGGAGAGCTTCCTTGGAGCGTTTCTGTAGAGTCACTTTCTAGAAAAATGAGATGATTCTTTGACTGCATATTGATTTTTCTTTTCTTTCTTCCCAATCGAGCCCCAGGTGAACATTTGATTTGCTGGCGTTCTTTCTGAGCACTTTCCAGGCTATTTCAATGCTGTGTCCCTTAGCATCTTAAGACATTTTCTTCTTTTTTTGCTTTTCTTTCTCTGAATGTGAATAGTCACAGACACCTTTTGCTAAGTGAATATAAAGACAAGCGGAAACCTTAGTCAGGAGTCTTTCTGAGGGAAACAATGAGTTAGTCATTTGACGTCAGATAAAGAAGTATCCATTTCATCATAAACAAGACATGATTTTGTGAGGGCACTTCTGTTTGATTTTTAAGAACTTGTGACTGCAGATTGTATTTTAAAAAATCATCTCTATTTCTTTAAATTTAAGTTCCGACATTGAGGTTCACTAAAAAAAAGTTTTTGCACTGGTTTGGGTTTTTGTTCTTAATTAAATAAAAACCTTGGTCAGGCACAGTGGCTCACACCTGTAATCTCAACACTTTGGGAGGCTGAGGTGAGAGATTGCTTGAGCCTGGAAGGTGGAGGTTGCAGTGAGCCAAGATGACACTACTGCACTCTAGCCTGGGTGACAGAGTGAGACCCTGTCTCAGAAAAACCAAACCAAACCAAACCAGTCCAAACAAACTAACAAACAAAAGATACTAGGAATGGTGGAATGTTTTTAAATTTCTAAATAGTAATAAAATCATTTCAATTGCAATCCTCAAACATTTAAAAAGGCAGTAAAAATGTACTCTCACTTTTATGAAAGCTGTGGGTTTCATATCCTGTGATGTTCAAGGTGACAAATTAGTTCAAAGCATAAAACTGTTGCTTTTTTGTATCCAGTTTTGTATGAAGCATTAGTGATAATCAGCTTTTGGCACAAAGCACTGTACTGTTTCTTTTTTAAAAAGAAATTTTCTAATCTGTGATCTCTATTTCTTTTATACCTTTTTATACAATGACTCATTCACCTTCTTGACACAAAAATCATTAGCATTCTTTGAACTTTCATCTCTTTGCCCATTTCCTAATAATAGTCTAATTATTACATATCTTTATTTTTAGAAGCATGTGATAATATTTGATAATGAAAAGGAAAGTAGTTAAGACTGAATAGCTTTAAATATGAAACACTTCATAAATATTAAACAATTCTTCTGAGCAAAAATTATATTATACACTAACTCCTAACTTTGCCTAAGCCACATAAAATACACAAAATGATAAATATTTTATTTTAATGAACTTCTTATAGAAAGCGAATTTCATTTGCTTACCTGCAAAGACTCAGACGATTCCATCTGTTCTGAAGGGATAGGGAAGAGAGTTTTATAATGGCAAAGGAAGGGACAAATGAGCAACAACAAATTACTCTTGTTTTTTTATGAGATTCCATAGCTATTTCCCTTAGAAAATGCCCTCAAGACATAAACACAAAGGTCTGCTGTCTAATCTTATGATCATCTAGTCTTTGAGTCATATTAAATATAGGTTCTTTTGTGTGCCATATTTTCTTGAAGTTCTCATGTTCCCTTTAGGGATAATAGAACAATCCACAATTAACCCTTTTGCTCTCAGATTGTATTTAAATAAAGATCAAAGTTTCATTTTAAAGGATCTAGAAATCTTGGCCAGGCAGGGTGGCTAATGCCTATAATCCCAGCGCTGTGGGAGGATGAGGCAGGAGGACTGCTTGAGCCTAGGAGTTCGAGACCAGTCTGGGCAACATAGGGAGATAGGGACTCTACTAAATAAGTAAGTAAGTAAGTAAATAAATAAATAAATAAATAAAGCCCTGCAGGGGCTGGTGCTATTAAGAAAAAAAAGAAAAAGAGGATCTACAAGTCTCAATGTAAAAACGTGCTTTAAAATTTTTGAACTTTTTTTGGTGATTGCACAAAGTCTGGAAATGGATAACTTCTTGGGGCCAAGTATTTTGGAAAGAAATGGTAGAAGCTGGAATGCCGAGGTAGAGGGAGGCATCCATAACAATCTCAAAACTTGTCCTTGGGTGCTGAAATTGCAGAAACCATGAAGCAATGCAACTGAATCAAAAGTTGGTATAAGGTCTTGTTATCAAATACCCAGAACCATTACACTGTTGCAATGTGGCAATACATTATATTTCTTTTTTTTTTTTTTTTTTT